TAGAGATACTCTGAAACAGGTATTTAACACTGATTCTAATCCTGTTCATCATTCTGATACCCCCACACCCTCTGACTCCCCACTTAGATTTAGAAGATCCAGACCTTCTAAAACTTTTATCTCTAAACCATCTTCTGTCCCCCCTCATACACCACAATCCAAGCAACCAACAAACATACAAACAGAAATTCCACAACAAACTCAACAAACAACACCACAACCACAAAACACTATCCCAGAATATACCATTCCAGAGGATGTTCACCCTGAACACTCTGACCAACCTGAATATCTCGTTGATCCTAATGAGATATTAGATGTCACACCTTTAAACCAGTCTGTCAATTTATCTTCAACTTCTGAAAAATCTAACCACTCTGATACATCATCTGATGATGAATCATCTGGTTACATTAATGAATGCTTGAATGATCTCAAACAACCTCGTTCTGAGAGTGTTTGGAAACAGCTGTTTAAATCTCCAACTTCTGAACATCCACCTTCTCCACAAAATTCCCCAACTCAAACTCTCACTCCACAACCTCTTGTAATCCAAAACACTCCACAACCAACAGAAACCCAACCAATTCACTCAATACCTCAACCACAACATTCTGACCAACAAACATCTGAACCACAAACCAACCAACCAACATCTGAACCACAAATCAATCCTCAACCTTCTGAACCACAAACATCTGAACATCCATCTTCACAACCTCAACCTTCTGAACAAACACCACAAACACAACTAACCCAACCAAGAAAACCCAGAATCCCTGATGAAGCAGAATTGGGATCAAGTGTTTATACTCTGTTAAGAGATTTTGATAAGGATAATGTCTCAGACTTTGCTGACATTATGGATGTTTGCATGACTACTATGGACAAAGAGGCTGCTAACGCTGTTTGGAAGAAATATCTTTACAGACTGAATAGGGAGGCTTTGAAAATCAGGACTCAATGTCTTAGATTGTCAAAAGTAAGGTTTGCTGCTTATCAAAAACGGATTAAGAGAAACACTCCTCCTATTCTTCTTCTAGAAGCTCCTCCACCTCCAGAAATTCCTGCACCTGATGTTACTCAGACTGTTTCAGAATCTACTGTTTCAGAACCTACTGTTTCAGAATCTACAGATCTTCAGAAGGATGTCAAAGAACTTAAGGATTTTATGGTTGATCAAAAGAAAACAAATGAAGAAATGAAAACTTGGATGGCTAAGCAAGATGAAAATTCAGAAAGGATTACAGCACTGCTGCAACTCATTGCTTCTCAACAAGCCTCATCTGCTAAACCTACTTGATGTTTTGCACAAGTTTTTCATGTTTTGCTTTGTTTTGATTTTCTTCTGATATGTTTTGTTTGCTTTTATCTGAATCTGGATGTTCTCTTGACTTAATGACAATGATCTTTTTGCTTATCTGGATATGTGTTTCTTCTGCATCTTTACTGTCTTTTAAAATTCTTTTTGATTATGACAAAAAGGGGGAGAAACAAAATAGAATCTGATTGTTCAAATCTATAAGCAATTATCTGAACTAAGTCAGACATGTTACTAACATTCTTTGAATTTAAGTGTCCCAGATATTATTAAAAAATCTGACAAATTTCATTGAAGTTTTTCCTGAGATCTATCTTTTCAGAACCTGATCAAAAATAGCTAAATCTGAGTAGACCAGACTCTGATATCTAACCTTGAGTACTATGATCTAAAAGATAACTCAAGACAGGAAATGGCAAGATAAACAACCAGGTGTTCTGAAGTTGTTCATCTGGCATCAAGCTTTAATATGGCATCAAGCTTTGACTCTAGAAGTCAAACATATGTCAACCAGGCTTCAATCAGGCTCTGAATCTGAAATGTACTCAACCAGAAAGGGAAGTATCTAATTCCATTAGAGTATTCATTTCAGGGGGAGATTGTTAATCTCAGGGGGAGTAATTTTAATTCATATTTTTATTGAGCAAATTTCTCATGTTTTGTCATCATCAAAAAGGGGGAGATTGTAAGAGCACAGATTGTGTCTTAGTAATATCTCTATGTTTTGATGATAACATTAATGATAATTTGTATACAAGAATTATACTCTCTAAATTTGTTCTAAACTGTTTTCTACAGGCACAAAAGATTTTAATCTTAAAGAGCAAATTTGATGTGAACTATAAATTCTGAATGGCTCAAGAGCATCTGAAGATTAGAAGAATCTGAAGTATAAGAGCTTAGTCATCAAGATTCTGAAGATACAACATGCTGCATATATTATCAAGAATCTGAATGAAAGAAGACTCTGAGTGAAGAGACTCTGAATGAGAGAAGACTCTGAGTGAAGAGACTCTGAATGAGAGAAGACTCTGATCTGAGTGAAGACTCTGATCTAAGAGCATGTTACGCTTCAAGCACACAGCTGCACCAGACTCTGATTCAGCAACATCTGAAGAACATCTTAGGCTCTGAAGTTTCCAGAAGATTCTGAAGACTGAAGACTCTGATATTGATTGTTGATCTGAACTATCTGAAGAATTATTTGAAGAAGATTATTTTAATATATCCGTTGGAATATGCCAGCAAATCTTTCCTTAATTGGGATAGACATAAATCTCTGCAAGAAGATTATTCCTCTGATATATTCCATATATGGTAAACTCACAGCTCAACAGACAATTGCTACACCCACATTTTGTGCGCTGTCTCTCTGCTGCAATAGTACAAAGGACAGTACTATTTGATATTGGAAATATCTTCTCCAACGGTATAATATTCTCTCCAATATTCAAGTGGCTATATAAAGGATATCATAGCACTTTCTTCAGTGTGAAAAAGTGACGAAATTATTGCAAGAACACTCTCACGCGAAAAACTCTCAAGCTCTCATATTCTTTGCTGTTCATACATTGTTCTAAACTTAGAGAAATAACACAGTTGTGTTTATAGCTTTATTAGAAGCAATTTCTTACTCCTACATTGTATTACATTAATTTGTAAAGGAAGTTTTCCTTAAGAGGATCTAGGTTAGATCAGTAGCTCTTGAGAAGACTAAGAACAGTTGTTCTTAGGTGTTGTTTTCCTTAAGAGGATCTAGGTTAGATCAGTAGCTCTTGAGAAGACTAAGAACAGTTGTTCTTAGGTGTTGCTATTTGTAATCAGTTGATTTGAATAGTGGATTAAGTCCTTGTTGAGAAAGGCAAATCACTCTTGAAAAGGGTGGACTGGAGTAGTTGAGTTCAACGAACCAGGATAAAAATACTTGAGTTTTTATCTTTGATTATTTTCTGTCATACTTATTCAACCCCCCCTTCTAAGTATTTTCTCACCTTCAATTCTAACATTTGGTAAATAGATATGTTTGGTTGTGAAAGATATCAGGTATATACCACTTTTTAAAAGAACTTATTCGCAGGTTGCAGTTTTGTTACGTGAAGTTCTAGATTTTAATGAAGAAGAGCAATAACAGTTCTGTTAGTTGGGAGAAAATTCAGATGAAATGAATGGTGTGAAAAAATGAAGCACATGAGAGAAGTCCCACATCAGTTTATCAAGAAATGAAATTAGTGTTTACAAAATCAAGCACAAGAGATAGAGGTATCGAGTGATGTGTCAATCCCTAGGTTTCAAAAATTAAATTTGAAAATTTTAATTAATAAATTTCTAAAAACACTTACTTGATTAAATGTGTTAATATATTTTGTAAAAAAATAAATAATCTAGTCATCTATGTCGCGTCATTAAAAGTAAAATTTGTATCCTAATCATCACTGACACATATACAAAATTGGAGAGAGAGTACAAAAATCCAAAGGCCATCAAAATTAAGGGATCAGAATGACTGATTTTGTAATAAGGGGACCAATAGTTTAAAACGTTCAATCTAAGGGAAGTAAAAGTGCATTTAAGCCTTTTTTTTTAAAAATGATCCTCCTAAAAATTTTCATCCACATTTTTGGTATTTCCTGCAACTTAGGGATGATTTTTACAATTTAGCGACGATTTTTACAATTTAGCGACGATTTATTACTTAGTAATTAAATTAGTGACAATTTTAATATTAAAATATGGATGACAAATTTTAAGAAGACCATTTTTTAACCGAAATATTTTGAAGAACTACAAACAAAATTTAAAATATTTAAAAAAAATAACAAACATATTTAATCTTTAAAAAAATACAATACGACACATTAATTATATTTATATAACAAAAATTTGTATAATCAACTATCCAACATTCTATCTCAATTAATTTAGTAATATTATAACCGATTATTATTTTATTTCTCTTAAACTAATATTAGATTGTTGGAAGAAAAAAAAATTAATATTAGGTTATGGTTTTTTTTCCGGCAAAAATACTGTATAGGTCCTTTAAATTATTTTAAAATAACAAATTAATCTTTTAAGTTTTTATTTATGATTTAGTCCTTTATCTTAACAAACACTTGCATCGTTGCCTTCTTAAAAATTTTCCGTTACAAAAACGCATATGTGGCACAAACGAAACACTTGTAACATTTAAGTGAGATAAGTTGACATTGAATATTGCTGATTTTAAATTTGAAAATTTGAAAATCACACATGTTCATCACTTTCACAAATGTTCATCATATTTAATAATATTCATAAGAAAAAATTTGAAAATCACAAAAGTAATGAAATAAATTACAAATTATATATTTTTGGACTTAGATTTTCACTCTCAATCCAAAATACATAATGTCAACTCATCTCAGTTAAATGTCACATGTGCTCCATTTGTGTCATATGCGTTTTTATAACCGAAATTTAAAATAAATAAAAAACAATTATATAAAAATCTATTAATATAAAAGACAAGCGTTAAGAAAAAAAAAACGTAAACCTCAACAAAAATTTTTAATTTTTTTTTCAAACTCAAATCTTTACTAGAACACGAGAATTTGAGAGAATGCAATAAAAATAAAAAGACTAGCTCAATCGGGGTCATATATACCTAAAGCAATCAAAACTCAACTTTTTCCCCAAAAGAATGAATCTTTTCACATTCATTCCACAATTGCTTTCCCTATTCCTCTTTTTCTCTCTTTCATCTTTCGTCTCTGCTTCAAACACTTCTAAACTCTTCGAAGATTGGACCAAACAACATGCCAAAACATACGCTTCTCACGAAGAGAAGCTTTACAGGTTCAAGGTGTTCCAAGACAATTATGCGTTTGTCTCAAAACACAACCAAATGGGAAATTCCAGTTATACCCTCGACCTCAACGCTTTCGCGGATCTCACTCACCGTGAATTCAAGACCACTCGTCTCGGTTTGCCTCCGTCGTTGCTAAGATTCAAATTCAACAAGTTTTGGGATCAACCGGTTGATGATGATAATTATCTGGTGGAAGTTCCGTCGGAGATTGATTGGAGACAGAGTGGTGCTGTTACTTCCGTCAAAGACCAAGGAAGCTGCGGTACTTTTTCTTTCTTTCTTTCTACTATATAGAAATAGTTATTTGATTTGAAAAATGTGATAAAATTGAGTTTGTAGTTATTTATGAATCTGTTAAAATTATTATCGGTTTCGACGTGTCAGTCTCATTATCTTTGTCGTGTCCGGCGTCGGTGGGTGTGTTTTTGTAATCACTTCATAGTGATTATTAAAATTAAGCTAAGCTTTAGTGCTATAGGGCCGTTGGACGGTTTTAAATAGCGGTCGTGGTTGCGTTGCAGTCGCGTAAAGGTTCTCGCTATTTTAGTTGGTATAGGTGTTGTGACACTGATAGCGGTCATCATGGTGTGAATTAGCCACAATTTGTTTTATGACGTAAAAACCGTGAATCAGCACCTGTGATACTGTTTTGTCGCGGCCGTTTTTGCGGTTGCAAAAACCTTGGTAGACATTGTTCGATAACATTTTATTTTAAATAGTGTGTATTGCAGAACAATAGAGGTTAATCTAAATTCCGCTCTACTATAGTGGTATTGTGTTATGGATGCTATTTAACAATTCTGATCATAAGATCATTTTGCTTTCTTTTGGTGATACTTTGTTCAGTGATAATGATGTATGATTATTATGCAGGTGCTTGTTGGTCATTTTCAGCTACCGGTGCTATAGAAGGGATAAACAAAATTGTGACAGGGTCTCTTGTAAGTCTTTCTGAGCAAGAACTGGTAGATTGTGATACAAGGTATAATAGTGGTTGTGATGGTGGACTCATGGATTATGCATATCAATTTATCATTGACAACAAAGGTATCGACACCGAAGAAGATTACTCGTATCGAGTTCGTCAAGAACCTTGCAAAAAAGACAAGGTACTTTATAAAATACTTATAGATTGTCTTGTCATATCATTCACTTTAACTCTTTTGTTTAATAATTTTGTTGATATTAGTATTTACAACGATTTACTTACATATAATCCTACAGTTAAAAAGGCGCGTTGTTACAATTGATGGTTATACTGATGTGCCTTCAAAGGATGAGAAAAAACTTCTAAAAGCCGTTGCAGTCCAACCTGTTAGCGTAGGCATATGTGGTAGTGCAAGGGCTTTCCAGATGTACTCAAAGGTTAAGCTCAATGGTCAATATTGTAACATAGTTTCACCAATTACTATAGCAAATTGGCTATAATATGCTGTTTTTTTTTCTATTTCAGGGTATCTTCACTGGACCTTGTTCAACTTCTCTTGATCATGCGGTGTTGATTGTAGGATATGGTTCGGAGAACGGAGTAGATTATTGGATTGTGAAGAATTCATGGGGGAAATATTGGGGAATGAATGGTTACATACACATCTTACGAAACACTGAAGATTCTGCAGGGTTATGTGGAATCAACATGTTAGCTTCATACCCAACTAAGACCAGACCTAATCCTCCGGTTCCACCTCCACCAGGTCCTGTAAGGTGTAATCTGTTTACTCACTGTTCAGAAGGGGAAACATGTTGTTGTGCCTGGAAATTTCTTGGAATATGTTTCTCTTGGAAATGTTGTGGTGTAAACTCTGCTGTGTGTTGTAAGGATAAGCGTCACTGTTGTCCACAAGATTATCCGGTTTGCGACATTAGAAAGAGCCAGTGTCTTAAGGTTTGTATGAATTATCTCCTTTCGAAACCCATCATAAGTAAATGTCATGTTGAACAAACTGGTTGATAGATTTGTCAATGTTGTAAATAGCGGCGACAGCGCTATAGCAGAATTTAATTATTCGCGAGTTTGAAATCAACACTACAATTCTAAGCTGATTATCATGTTGTAGTTTTTCATTTATGATTACTGATTTCAGTCTTTAACTTGCAGAGAGTTGCAAATGGAACGATAACAATGGCATCTGATAAAGAAGATACTTTCCATCAGAAAAGAGATTGGAGATCTCAATGAGTATTTATCATTTCCATCACTCATTTAAATTGTTGAATATTTCCACTAGCTTATCAGTTGTAATACTGTGAGTCATTCTATTTCTTGCAGTCAAGATAGGGTATGAAAGGAAAGAGATAAGAGTAAGAGATATTGATAGTTTAGGGAATGCTCGGACAATCCAAACTTTATGTATTTTCTCCCCTTTCTCTCTTTTTAATGTATTTTTATTTTCTCCTCCAAATCTAGTGTGTTTATTCTAAACTCAGTTTTGATCTCATGTTAAGAGTCATTTTTTATCTCTAAAACCAAAATTCTCTTGTCTAATTTGGTCTTATCCAACTTTTAGGGGTTTCAATTTTTTTTGATAAACAACAACTTGAATTATGATGAGCACATCGGGTGCTCAACCCTTAATACAAGAAGAGAAAAACAAAAATAGACCTAAAGGCCCAAACCCTTACATCAAAGTTTGATCCACTATCAATTTTATGAGCCATTCATCTTGATTTCGTTCAACCTTTGATGCATTCCTTTCTTCGATTTTGCACGTCTAATTTGTTGTTGATTTGATTTTGATGTTTGATGTCATCGTTTTGACGATCTGTTGCATGTTGTCTAATCTGGTTGCATCTCTTACTCCGATTATGTTTCTTCTGGTTGTGTTTCTTGTCAATTCTGATATGGCTTCGATCTTGATTTTGAGATATGTTTTGATGACGAACACAGTCGCTTGCGTCGTCTCGTCGATCAGTAATTCTTGTTTGTTGTTTAGTTTTCTGTTCTTGTCGCTCATGGGTCGGATCTGTGTTTTTGATTAGACACTTTTTCAATATCATTACCATCTCTTTTTCTTTTGTGAAAATTCCTCTCAAATTTAGAGACAGTGATACTAGCACATGGAAGAAGATTGCCAATGTTGTTTGTGATGATGATCTAATTTCCAACTGTACAACTTCATAGAGGTTTAGAATTTCTATAGTAATTGGAAGCAATGCTTATGGTAATTGAATTATAAGGCAGTGTTTTGTGTGATTTTTCAAGTTGGAGTTTGAGACCTTAATTTGATACTGATCTTGGTGCAAAGGTTAGTTTGTAATGAGTGATTTGGATTGAATATCATCTTATAAACATGATAACAATGGCATAGTTGACACTCTGCAAGAACTACCTTTTGTTTTGCCTCCTATTGTACTCAGTTATTTCGTATCAGCATTGCAATTGATTTTAGGTTTGTTCCTCAACCCCTCTCCTTACAAGTCAGTTTTATAGAGATGAGTTTAGTCAAACTCTAATTCTATTATGTTCAGTTCTAAACGTGAGTGCGTTAAGAGACTCACATTAACCACACACCATTTATATTTACGCACTAAGTCTAATAGTGTTGGGCATGAGGGAGGCCGGTTGATTGGACCCTGGGCACCCCTCACCTTACTTTGCAGTAAAGATGGTTTTGATTTTAATAACTATGTTGGCTTGCTAAGGTTTATTGTGTTTGTGATGTTGTAGACAATGCAAAGAGAGTTAATGGTGTATAGGCATAGCAGCAGAAGCTTGTTTGACTTTTGAGTTGGTGGCCTTATCTCGACAGGGAGGGTCAAAGAAGTGGAGCTGATCTTTAATGGATTGTGAGAAATATCATATTGTAAGTTTGATGATTAAATGCAGTTCTTAGAGTTATGACTCAATTACTATGTCAGTTTTTTGGTTCAGGAAATTATAGATTATGTGGTATTGGATTTTGGGCATTGCCTACTAAGTTGTTGTTGCCTCATGGTGGTGGTTTGGAGAATGTGAAATCCATGGGTGGGGTTACAGGAGGAGATAAAATAGTTTTCAGGACAAGAGTAATAAGATGATGGCTACATGTGTTTTTATAAGATTGTTTCTATCCTGTGAATTTTTAGGGCAAAGTAATACTCCCACTGTCTTAAATTGTCTTAAATTATAAGAAATACTCAGGTTGCATTGAAGAGCATAAAAAATATATAAGTAATGCTTTTGATGATGAAGCAAGAGGGAGAACTCGATAATATATAGCCCGGTTGGTTAGATGAGCCTTTTATTCTAAAAAATAAAGTCGATGGTGTTGTTAACCTCTCAAAAGGTATCATATGATTTGAAGGCGAGAAGTATACTTATATTTTTATTGAACTCTAAAATATATTATTCTATCTTACATCATAAGAGCTCACAAACAATGTGAAATGCTCTTTAAGTCCTTTACAAGGGAATTATAAGAGCTCACAAACAATGTGAAATGCTCTTTAAGTCCTTTACAAGGGAATTTGAGATGTTAAGGATTCTAAGATCAATATGTTAACAGAGGAGTGTGGACTTTTCTGTATGGGACTCGATTAAACTGTGGAATCTATGCACACAAGTTAAATAACTTAGGAAAGTCTTTTTCTAACAAAGATTGTGCACAAAATTTTAAGGTCTATATGCATGAAATAACAATCAAATGATACAGTCATTAAAACATCAAATGATCTTAATAATTTGGATATCATAAAACTATTTTGAAAGCTAACTTAACGTGAGAATGGGCTGAAACAGTTCGTTACAAGCAAAGTAAGCTCTAAAAAGAAAGAGAAGGTTAAAGAAGAGGAACAAGATATCTCCTTGAAAGCTAAAAAGAAAGAGAATGTTAAAAAAGAGGAACAAGATATCTCCTTGAAAGCTAAAAAGAAAGAGAAAGAGAAGGTTAAAGAAGAGGAACAAGATATCTCCTTGAAAGCTTTGTCGTCAAAGACAAAGAAAGTAGAGGATGATAGTGATAGTTTTGATGAAGAATCTTCCAAAGAAGAAGATATGAGGTTATTCATCAAGTGCATAATCAATATATGAAGAAGCAAAAGCTCAAACATTCACAAAAATATGATTAATTTCAAGAAGTTACATCCGCATAAGAAAGAAAATAAAAGAAAGGAAGATGTCACATGCTTTGAATGCGGAAATTCAGGCTATTTTTGAATAATGTGTCTGAGTCTTAACAAGCGCAATAAGAAAAAGGAAAAAGACTCCTACAAGAAGAAGAACAATCATGCCAAATGTCGTATGACCTATATCGCTTGGGAAGAAGAAGATAAGAGCTACTCTTCAACTTTCAATTCTAGCTTAAATGACGCACGAAAAAAGTAAAGATTCAGAGGTATATGATTCTAGTCTTGAATGTAAACCTTCTTACAAATAATTGTCGAAAGCATTTAGAGAAATAACGCAATAGGTGCTTATAAGAAAATTTATCTAAAATAAAAAAACTTATTTCAAAACTTGAAAAGAAAATTAACGATCTTAATAGTGTTTTAGATTTCTTAAAGGAAGAGCATGCATCTCTTGTAACACTATAAACTCCAAACACTTGATTTAAAAAAAAAACACGCGGATAATTTACTCAAAAACTGAGTGTCACATTCTCTCAACATAAACATCTTTTTCAATTATCATACTATAGTAGTGGAAATAAATAATAATAAGTCAACTCAAAATTGTCTCGTAAATAAATATCACATTCATTTTAAATCATAAAAGAAATAGTTCAATAATTCTCATAATACAAAACATAAAGGTAACACGTCCTAGTGTTACACTATCATACACAAAAACTAAAATAAACTCAAAAGCAATAAATGACGAAGAAGGTCAATATGCCATCCTCAAAAACACAAAAGCAACTAAGACTCGTCTACCTAAGTATTTGCACCACAAACATAAAGAACAACACAGACAAATAAACAGGGGGTGAAAATACATTTGCATATGTTAGCAGTGCATAAAACAACAAGGAAAGTACAATTAATATCAATCATCAATTACATAAATCATCTACAAGAATATTCAATCACAAATGCAATTATGCATGCAATATTCATCTCTTCTACTCCAAAGCATGTGGTATCAAAGTTTTGGATATCAGAGGCATATTACCGATTAATACACTCGTCATTGATTCCTCTCTCAACCATTAGACTCGTCACTGGTTTCTCTCCGAACCATTAAACTTGTCATCAGCTCGTCTCTGAACTTGAGACTCGTTATTGGACCGAAGTTTTACCTATCTCCGATATACATGATACATGAATGTAACAAATAAATGTAATACTCATCTCAAACCTCCAACTCCATTACTCGTTATTGATTCCTTTCTGAATCTAAACTCAAAATGAATATCGTCAGTACAATGCCACAACAATGGTTTCTCTTTGAACCAAACATTTCAACATAACTCAACACTTTTATCATAACTTTGCATAATAATAAAATTATATAAATTTTTGAAAATACTCATCGATACTCATCAACATAAAAAAATTGAATAAACAACAAAAATAGAATCCACTCGAAAAATCGAGTCGAACAATCCAAAATCGATCAAACAATGGATGACGATCAGCCCTCAAGGCATGTCGGTCGTCACGCCTTCCTGTCACCCCTCTCCTTCACAAAAACGTCGTCAATCTAATGCTTGGGCAAAGAGCCATTCCTGAGTTCATGGAGGTCGGTTCGTCTTCTGTTAGCTTGGCCAACGTAGTAACACTTGACCTGTCACGAAGGTGACACCCGTCATCAATGTGCACAACACATATTTTTGCATTTTCTCCATTGGAGCACTTTCAAAGCTCCAATTTCAACCCAGAAAGCCCAAAACTCATAACAAATCATCATCACTTATACAACATTAAGCACATCAATTTCACACATATTAATCATTTATATCATCGACTAACCGTAAAAACCATTAACATGTTTATCAATTTAAAGCATATTAATATGAACATTAAAACTCAGAATTTCACCTACGATTTTATATGAAAACCAGTCCCTAATACATCACAAAATTCAAATGCATATCACAACAATCAAGAGAGATTTTGCACAAACCATTTCAAAATTAAAAAATTTCATCAATGGACAAAAAATAGAAAGAAAATGAAAAGAGGATGAGAAATCTTCTCTATCCTTCATTCCTAAACACTCATATCATTATCAATCCCCCTACCTTAAATTTGTAGCAACCT